AACAATGAGCGCTTACAGGAAAACTTTGAAAAAGAGTATCTGTGTGCTTTTGTTGTTCATCTAAAAGGAAGCAGATTTGTTGTTTAGTCTGGGGACTTGACCAAGCCAGTGCCCCCAAACTCTTACTTTCATTGCTGGTTATTGCTGTATTTAGACACCTGAGCAGTACCATATTTGTACTATTGAGCAGCTGATTGCTCAGCTTCTCTGACAGCAAGTCCCTAGAGTGCCTCATGGTGCAGATTAGCAAATATCATTTGCAAGGAGTTAGTTTCTCTGTAGGTATCTCAGCCTGAGTTATGGAAAAAATCTTGTGAAGTATTGGCTTTCAGCTTAACTAATTCTGAAGTAGGATACCTTCTTTTTTTTTTTTTTTTTATTTTTTTATTTTTTTCCAGAATTATTGCCTTCCTTGCTTTTCTTTGATTTTGAGTGTGAAAACGTAACGTGTCTAGTTTATTCTTATGAGCAGTGGGAGGTAATGTTATAAGCAAGCATTAGTAGTCTGGTCAGGTAGAAATTCTCATTCCTGAAGTATCTAGAAGACCACTCAACTCAAAACACAATTTGTATAAGATACTAGGAGCAGTTTTCCTTAACCTTTGTTTTCTTTGTTCGCAGTCCTTTAGCTGCGGTAATCATGCTACGTGCTGCTTCATACAGGGTCTTTGATTTGGTCATTTTTGAGTTATTACATAATTTAAATGTATGAAATTTCAAGATTTTTTAGACTAATGAGGTCTTAGCTAGTTGGAGGCTTTTTTTATCCACTAGTTTTTTGCCTAAAAAGGGGATTGTGAAGACATTGTTGAATCAGGAGCCTGTGACACGAGTTACATTCCTTTGAACTCTCAATGTGCAGCTGGATTGACAACTGAATTTAGAAATAAACTTGTCAGCACTGATGGTTTGTTCTGTATCCTAGCACACAAGGAAATGGTAAAACAATAAAGTTCCAATGGAAATAAATTGAAAAACATAAATATTTGCAATGACAAGGTGCAGCAGTATTGCTGAAAGAAAACATGGTTTCAATAAACTCAGACCTTGTTTGGAACACGTTTTTTCTGACTTTTGTTTGTGTTCTATGTTATCTGATTCTGTTTCACTTTAATACTTGGAAATGGGATAAAATTGAACAGAATAAAATGAAGCAAAACTGCATAGCTGAAAACTGGGAAGGTGTCTGTCTGCCAAATATAACATGTTTTTCTAAACCTCATCAAAATGCTTGACTTAGGCAAATGATCTAGGTGATGTGAGCTGTCGATGTTAGCTGCTTTTCCTGCACCAGGGTAGTTTGTAATCACCACATTCTTCCTCGCTCTGCAGTTCATTTATTTGTGAGTTAAAAAGATCCTAGACTTGTTACAAGGTTAAACCTGGAGTTGGCATCAGCATCAGGACCTTACAAAAGGATGAGAAGCACACTTCGAAAACAAAGCAAAAAAAAATAAAATAATTGTTTGTTTATATGGTCTGAAAATACCTTTCTTCCACATATAGCATGTCTCAACTCATGTCTGTGAAACATGCTCATCAGAGTGAATTATCAAGGGTGTGCTATGCTGCACTGTAACTAGGAGGACCAAAGTGAATGTATCACAGCTATGATCAGAATGTTTTCTTTGTGGCCTATCGATCTAACAGGAGCTGGATTTATTTTCGAGTAGGACTAAGCGTGTCAGTAAGTCCAGCAGTGGATTTTACTGAAGAATTGATTCAAGCTATTAAGAACCAGAATGACATCTGTGTTATTTTAGAGTGATGGTTAGATTAAGTTTCTAATGCTTTGGCTGCAACTGCATGTGTCATACTCTTACATAATAGTATATATAACAAAGTAAAAGAGCATAGAGAAGATAAACTGGAGAGATAAAAGAACCTCCTGCCATGCCATAGCTATTGCATTCAAAATATTTCAACTTATTTGATATCAATTCTATTGAAAACTGCTTAGAATTAGGATGATGGTCAAGGCTGTAGCAGGGAAGGAAAAAAAAAAAAAAGGAAAAGAAAAAATTATTACTGGGGTTACTGCGATTTTTAATCACTGGGAACATAATGACATAATAAGACCAATTTTAGCACAAAAGAGATGAAGGACTGTCTTTTCAAAAGTAGTGAAAGATTTTGTGTGCCTTCACTTTAGGATGTGTAGTTGTGTCCCAACTTCCAGAAAGAAATATTGGTCCACCCGGTCAGTCAGAATTGGGTACTTAAAACAAAACTCGAACCCCAAAATCTTGCTTAACAGAGAGAGAAACTAATGTCCTACCAGTAGCTTACTCCTCCAGGTCAGCTGTATATCAGTAGTTACAGTAAGTCTTGGAAGTGTTACAAGAAAGAATTTTTTAATTAAAAAAATCATCTGATCTTCAGTGGGCACTTTTTCAAGTTTTTTGCTCACGTCTGCTTTCAGTGTAGGAACTTTTTGTTTTGTTTTGTTTCCCCTGAGGATCCTTTTGATTGTTTTCTAAGGTTGATGTTAAAGCTAATTGAGACAAGTCACTGAAGGAGAAACAGGACAACATTGTTTTGCTATGTTAAGCAGCTCGGCTGATGAACTTCAATAAAGAGCTGTGCTTAATGTACGTGTAACATATGCGATCGCTCCTTCTGGTCTCAGAGTTTCTGAAGCAGATGTCTGGGGGGATTCCAACCACAATATTTAAGTTACTTGTGGCTGGCAATGTTGTTTTATGTCATTGTCATTTGCCAGCTTAGCTCTGTCATTTTTTATTTTTTTTTTACTAGAGAGCTTTCTGAATTGTTCCAAATAACTTCGACCCTCATATACAGTACATGGGTGCTGTCATCTTTGTTATTGGTATGGTGAGGCATAGGACCTCAGTGTTACCTATTACACAGTGTTTCACCCCTTTTTTCATTACTTTAGTACCATCATGCATCATCCAAATCCTTTGAGCGATAGGTAACATGCTAGTCTGTGTGGTTAAAGAGATGTAAATGCCATCTAAGCAAAGCAACCAACTATGATGGAAGCTATCTGCTCTGTGCTCCCCTATTTACGTTTCACAAACAAATAACTACAGTGATGTACTTTTGGATGTTTCTGCTATTTTGTAAATGTCTACTTGTCCTTTTGGAACTTGCTCCTGCAAGTTTGACAAGCAAATACAGAAAAGACGTATGCGGGCTTTACTGAAAGCTTCACAAGTCATGGTAATTTCCTGTGATAACATACCCAAAAAGCCAAAAGATATTGTCTGATACTGTTGCAGAATTGCAGTTTTGATGGGTTGGATTACACTTTGAAAGAACAAAGGATGAGGGATGCACACAATTTGGAAATGTAACTCATTTCTGACTAAATTTGGGGTGTATTCTAGTGCAGTCAAGTCACGGTGCTCCCATAGCCACCGTGAGGAGTCTGTAGTCTGGATGAGCAAGACAGGTTCTTGAAGCCAACCCACTCACAGCTATGGGTGAACTGTGCAGTCACACTTCATCAGTTCCTGTTTCCCTGATACCCTTTTGTACTTTCTTCCTTCTGGCACGGTGAGACTGCAGGACAGACTTCACCATTGCCCTTTGAGCTGCTAACAAGCAGTGAGCAGGAAATTTTAAGGTAAGGGATGAATGAGCCAAGCTCTCCTACAGGCTCGTGCTTATTGAATTAACAGTATCTATTATTTCCTCTCTCTATGCACAGTCAGTAGCATATGTCCGTTTCAGTAAATCCTGCTATTTGTGTTCTTTGAAGTAAGCCCTCTAAAACAACTTCATTGATTCCTGCATGACTACCCGATTACCTTGTGATTACAGCTGCGAAAAAAAAAAAAAAAGGTGACAGAAACTGACCATTAAGGTCCATCTAAAGCTAAGCATGTCTTGTACTGTTGGCAAATGACAGATGCTGGGGTCTGTCACCATGGAGCACAGTGACCTGCATGACATAAAGATGAGCTTGGCTATGTCCTGAACCCAGGTTTGTCCTCTTAGAGTAAAACAGATTTCATTTATAGCAGGTATCACTGCTGGGCAAACTCTTGTTCAAGTGACACTCCAGTGAGTTCAGGGGGTTGAGGAGGTTTCCCTTGGTTATAGTCTACTCCAGCACCCAGGGGCCCAGGCTGTAGAAAGCAATCTCCAGATTTCTTCAGACTTTGCATTCTGAGTGGTTCAGTCTTATCACTGCATGAAACGTCATTGTGTACTAGCACATGTGTTTGTTTCTGGAAGAATTTAGAGGAATGTAAACTAAGTGTTCCCTGAAGTAGAGATTTTCTACTTTCCTTAGGATTACTGAAGCCTAAACCCCGTAATTTGTACAAGCTGTAATAGCACCTCTCAGAACTATTCTCTAACTGAAAAAGTTTGACGGCCATCACACTCATGTAGAGAACTACTTTAATAAGTTATTCCTTTTCATTGAGTTTATTTTAAGTTTCATTATTTCGTTATTTATTTGTTTATATGCTGAAGGTTTCAAGAAAAAATGTTAATTTAACCCAGAGAGAATCGCTAATGCAAAGTACCAGCATAAGAATGTTAAATACAATCCAATCTTCCTGTAAAGGCTTTCCCTGCTGTGTGATTTTAAAACTGCAAGGATTAAGTCTGGCTAAAGTTGCAGTTCCACATATGCAGCAGCCCAATGTAAACCACGATGCCACTAAAGATTTCATCCTCTCCAGCCAGCTTGCATGCTAGCATGACTTCCGTGGAGTCAATACAGTAAACCAGATCAGGAGTCACAGAATCACAGAGTCAGTCCAGATGAAACTCATCTGGCAAAATAAATTGCCTTTTACATCAGTTAAGTATGTAAACTCATTCATTACACAGCTACAGGAAAAAATGGAAAAAACAAGGAGAAAAGGCATCATGGAGAAAGATACAGACAGCCAACACCAGCTTTTTGCAGTAGCTGGGTCACCTTATTCTGGGCCTTCAGGCGGACTTGTGCCTGATCCATACCAAATAACATTTGAGTTCCTTCCTAAATTAAATAAAATTTGATGGAGAGGTAGAGCATCAGTGAAACAGAAAAGGGAATGAACACCTGCAAAAACTTTCTCCTAAGAGTACTGTACCTGAACTGCAATGCTGTTGTCTGCTGCACATGTGGAGGTAGCGAGGATACAGGGAAGCAGGAGTTATTGGAGAGGAGAGGGAAAGTTAAGGAGAGCAGGCTTCACTGTTTGTGGGGCTACCATTTTTTTTTTTTTTCATTTGGTAAGTGCTTGTGTTTTAGAGCTATTTCCCACAGCTCTTTCTCCAAAGGCTTTCCCCAAAGCCTTTCTCCTGCCCAGTGTGGTGGGCCCTGCTCAGGTGTATGCACCTCCTTGCCCTTTTCAGAGCACCCACCATGCTTTGTGGGACAGGAGGCCATTAGTGCAGCTGCAGCCCTGGAGCACCACTAAGCCAGCACAGGTGGGAAGGGGTGGTGCAGGGATGGATGAGGGGGCAGAAGGCTCTGGGAGGGGGCTGCAGGCCTTGGAGCTGCATCAAAAGGCAAGCTATGGAGCTGTGGGATTTCTGTGTGTCTCATGGGGTAGCATCATTTTTTTTGGTGGTGGTGTTTTTGCAGGTTTTTTTGTTGTTGTTGTTTGTTTGTTTTGTTTTGTTTTTTCTTTTGAAGGTGAGGTGTCACCTTCAGAGAGCTAAGCCCATGCTGATGTCCAGGTGCTGCCAGCTGCCTGGCTCTAGGGGCTTGCTCTGAGCACGTGTTTTGGCAGCACCAAAGTATGGTTGGGTGATGGCAACAACTTCCACAAAGTATTTAGGAATAAGGTTACCTCTCTCAGCAGGGTTTGGTGCTGCTTGTTGAGGATTGTTAAAGCTGATTTTGGTAGGTCAGCCCCAGCCCTGGAAGGAAAGGATGCTAGAATGAGTGCTGGAGCAGGTGCAGCCCTGGTGGGCTGCTCCTGGTCCCACAGAGGGGTCTCGATTCAAAATGGAGAGCCTCGCATTTCTCAGGGATACAACAGTGTGTGCTTTTGTAATGTACTGGGTTATTTCCTAAGAGGTGGTAGAGCCACAATGTACTTGCCTTACTATCAGCTGATAGTTTAAGGGAGTCAACCAAACTAAGGGGTGAGCAAGGCTTTTCCAGCCTTGGGCCCCTCCACTGAGGCAAAAGGAATCTGCTTTAAAGAGTCTTGAGCACTCACAGCTGTCCATAAAGCCATTGAAAGATCTGATCTGAAAGCATTAAGTGAAAATGGATGACATAAAGCTCTACTAGAGTAAGATGCTGCAGCCTCGTGAGGATGTCAGGGAGATGATTTCTTTGCTGTGCCTAAAGCCAATTCATGGCACAACAATGTGAGCTAAATAATCACCTCTGTATGGCAGCACATCAGAAAAGCGTGGAGTAAGGAAGGTCTGTGACGTGCACTGAAAAGTTAGGAAAACATAAAACAATGAAACAGCATTCATCAAGGTAGTCTATTCTGTATACTACATAAAATAAACATGCTTTATGGTAGTAATTCTGTTCTGTATCTCATTACATCCACATGCAGGGAGGAAAAAGTAAATTAACCGGTACATGCAACCTTAATTTCAGCTTGTGCTGGGTCTGGAGGGATTAATTTTGACAAATATGGGGCTTTTCCCATGCCTGGACGTGCATACAACTGTGTTCCTATGCTGTATTGTGCGTGTATCTGAGTCGTGGGTCGCTTCCAGACATTCTCCTGGCTCAAACTTTTCATTCACAGTACCCTTGTGTGCTTTGTCCTCACCTTATTTTTTGCAAGAAAATTATTTTGGAACGCTTTGACACCTTGACAGGCTGCCTGCTTTCTGGGTAGAAAGCCAATGCCAGGGGTCCACAAGCAGCTCCATAAGTTGATTTTGTTGCCAGAAAGCTCAGTCTGCTGATTCTCCTCCTCCACCGCCTTCTCCTTTGGTTAGGTGAGGTGTTTGCACAGTCACATTGGGAACTGGGTACAGGAACTGATCGTGTTGCTGAAATTAAAGCTAACCCAGCAATATCTGTTGAACTCATTGTGCGCTTGACGTGGCAAACAGAGGAGCGTGTGGCAGAGGGTGGGTGAGAACACGACTTTGCTTTTTGGTGGTAGCTCTTGGTTATGCTGCCTTAAAGTGCAACACAAGCATAGGAGTGGACAAGGATATGGGCAGCCAGTAGTTGAGAGCAGGAGGTGAGGGAAATACATATGATGGACACCCTCTTACCAAGCCCTGTAATAAGCCTGTTGGACATTACAGAGTCACACCCTAGAGCCTGACCTGTGAGATGATGAACATTTAAAAAAAGATAATCATTTCATTACATTTGTTCAAGCTTATATTCAGAACTTTGGATGAGGAAAGGAAGGGAAAGTGCCTGATAAATATGGTACATGATAAATATAGGTCATCACCTGAGCAGTCATCAGCATTGCATATGCATGCAAAGGGGGAGGGAAATGTATGACACGAGCTTGTTTTGTAGGATGAAGCTATATCTGTGTCTGAGATACCCTGTGTGCTGTCTTTTTAGTTTTATTTAGCCTTCTCCCACGCTTTTCCTCATATATTAAGAGAATAGTATAAGTGAGTAGAAATCCTAGATTTTTTTATATGATACCTAAAGGAAAACCTCAGAATATATGAGCAGTTTAAAAGAGTGAGAACAAAGTTATTCTCTCTCACATACTGCTAACAGTTAACATTGAAATCACTCTGGAAATCTGGGAAGAAAAGCAAAGTGGTTGAATATGGCAAATACAAGAGGAGCTAAGCTCTCTTGAGTTTGCTCATCTTCAGCTTGAGCAATCCCAAATCAGAGATTGGGAAAGAATTCAGGATGAATTTTTAGGAAGTCTGAAAACAAGTCTTTTGGCTCCAGTATCTCATTTTATTTGATAAGTGAGGCAAGCAGGCTTTTCACCACAGTGGGTAGGTATTACTCTGTCCACACAGAAGGACAGATTTAGGACCCAGACTGCCAGGTGCCATCATCCCTGGCACTGGTCATTGGTGCCTGTCCTAGGACAACAGGGTTTTAACTGAATCCCAGAGCTGTAGGCATTCAGCAGTTGTGCTGAAAAGATCAAGACTGATGCATGGAGCATCGGTACCCTGTATCAGCCCACAGTGAGTGGGCCAGATTCAGTACCCTCCTGTTTTGTTGGAGGGCCATGCCAATGCCCAAAGGAGCTGTAGGAATTCTGTGCATCAGAGTCACCTGGCTCCTAGAAATCCTGGATTACAGTGGTCTGGTTGAGGGAGCATGTAGATGCTAAGATCAGTGCGCTGACAGCACAGCACAGCACCTGCAAATCCATCAGGAGCAAAGCTCTGTGCAGTCAGAAATTCAGAAACACCGAGATGGCTGAGTGCATCTTTAGCTTCAAGGGCAGTCAGCCATGGCTCAAAGTGGCTCGGGCTTCACTTAAGTGTTCGTTATGCAGTTATCAATGTAAATTGTTCCTGCTACAGCTCTTGAAAATTATGGTCAGCTTTCTGTGCCTTTTCATATTCTCTATATAATATTTCCTCAGGTAACTTCAGAAACTTAGCTCTGTTCAGCATAAAAGTTCCTAGATCAAAATGCTGTCCTTTGTATGATGTAAAACCACCACAATAACTAAAACAGAATATAACTATAAACCTGAAGTGAATTCTGACTGTAAATAAATGGAAAGGCAAAGATAATGGAGTATTGTATTTCCAAAAATATTTTTTTTGTTTTATTTTTATTTAGATTGATCTTCATTCTTTCTTCTGCCTGATTTTCAAATGCTTAAGGTACATTAACTGAAAGGAACTTCCTTCAGCCTGTAGCTGTGACTAAGCAACTCTTCCTATACTCACTCTACTACACATCTCATTGCGCTTGGGCACCAACAATGAGTCACCGCCTCAGCTGGAGGCCGGTAACTGATAAACAAGCAAGTCACCAAACAGGAGCTTTCTTGAGGAAAAACAAACAAACAAAGCTAATAATTTCCACTGTGTTTTGAATGGAAAGCTGAGATACCTGCATTTTAATTCATAGTCTATTTTAAAACAAAAAGCTCTGTTCCCAAGCTCAGCTGGAGACAAGGGGGTGTTCCATGGGTGATCCTGAAACCTGCAGCTCTGTGATGCCCCTGGCGTGATGCTGCTACCTGGGTACAAATGAAGATGAGTTGGCTCAGGGTTGAGAGTGCACGGACTCTGCAGGTAGGGAGTTACAGGCTGCAGCTGAGATGAAGGCAGAGCAGCAAAGCTTTAATCCCAGTCGCTCTGATGCAAAAGCGTTGTAGACAGATGGCTGGGCTGCATTGTGACCTCCTGCAGCTGGAGAGCAGCTGGGGACTTTGTGGGACAATGTCAAGAAGCAGTTTCAGAGCCCCACAGGAAACTAAATGTAGTGTGACGTCTTGAAGTGGTGCAATTAAAAAGAAATTTGAAGTGTAGGCAAAGGTTACATGCTTAGCTTTCAGTAATATAGTAAAGTAGAATTAAACAGAAGCATATGAATAAAAAATGTGTGTGCCTGGATGAATGGAACGGCATTTTACAAAAGGACAAAGGATTGTTCTGAATAATATTTAAAGTTTAGTATTGCAAATTGCTTGAATTAATAACAATGACATTTTTAAAAGGTCAGAAATTGGTTCAAAAAGGTATCTAATATTTAAAGCTGAGTTTCCTGCAGCCGTGTTTTCCTGGTGTCACCTCGGACCTGTTGCCAGCCGAGATCAGGGAGGTGGGACCAGCCCTCTTGCCCTGTGGGTTAGGGTGCACCAGCCTGGGTGATGGCCTTTTTGAGAGATGGCCATTAGCAGAAGTGACCATGTGAACTACTCAGCCAGGCTGAACAAGCCTCTGGGAAAATGCATCGCCGCCCCCAAGAAAAGGTGAGGAGGGACATCTGCACATCTCACATGCATCTCAGTCCAGGTGGTAAAGCAAAAGAGCCTGTCATGACTGCCAGAGGAGGTCCACAGGCTTCTCTGTAGCCACCTGGTTGTCATCCCTTTCCTTCAGTCCTGTGTGAAGCCTCTTAGTGAGGTGCCTGTAGCATCCCTTCCCTTGGGATAAACCACACTGCTGTCATCTGTATGACTGAGCAAGGGTTTTGGGATCTCAGGCCAGGGGTATGCATGAGTTTCCTGCCTTGGAGGGTGCAGCACCAGCAGCTGGGGGCACAGACCCATCTCCTCTGGGATCTCAGCCTCTCAGTGGGTGGAATTCTCCATCTCTCTTGGCCTGGTTTTGTCAGCCTCTTACATAGTGAGGGACTGTGTGTTGTGTGGAATCTCTATTGCAATGACCCTTTGCTTGGTCATGTCCTTTCATCAATTTTGTGAAATCCCAAGGTGCAGATACAGTGCGGGCTGAGTAATTATGTTGCTGCTTTTAATGTCTATTAAGTAATTAGAGTTACAGAGAAAATATCAACCTCTGCTCCTCTAAAGCTATTATACTGTTAAGGCTGTTTTATTGCTTCCATATTTTTGTTAATATATTTGGTCTCCTTAAAGTAGTGCTGACTCTCAAAAAAATTATTTTCTGCGCTATCACTGAAGTGGAACAGACATCATCAGCATGTTTACTCTTGGGTGGTGAGTCCCTGGGGATTGCAGGTGGATGGCACCAGTTGCAGTACTGCAGTGTGAGGTTAGAGCTGGACCAAGAGATTGAGAGAACAGGAAGGCTTCTCCTGGGCTCATCAGTGAATTAGATAAAATAGTCTGTGGGCTCACTGAAATGCTGGCTGTTGCAGTGTCAGTGAACTCTCTGTTCATGAGCTGATTGGAAGATTGCAGTTTTCCTTCCGTAACTTTGAATGCTTTCCCTTCCTCCTGCTATTGTTTCACTCTGGTATTTCAGAGCTTGCTCACTGTAGCTCGTATCTCGAAATAAACCAATATCAAGTTCAGCAGCAGGAAAAAAATTCAGTTGGAAATTTGCCGTGTGAAGAGTTGGCAGAATCAAGTTTTTCCATTAAATATGTGAATAAATGAAACTGGCTGACTGGTTGTCCTCATCTGTTTCAGGTGAGCTGACTCGGATATTCCTCTGGATTCTGGCCATGTGCTGGGGAGGTGACTGCTTCAGTTTTCTCCCCACCCCATGCTGAAGAGGAAGAAGTCAGTTCAAGTTCACCATGAAACCTGGTAAGATCAACTTTTCCGTGTAATGGTGATGTCCTGCTGCTCAACTACTGAAAGGCACGTAGCAGCGAGCATAGCTGAATTGCAAGGCATAGGGGTTTCACAGATCTCTCCAAAGCCAGAGTTTGCCATCCTCAGTGGCAATTTGTCAGCAGTGAATTTGTTCTTCAGGATTTGTGGTGAGGAGTTCAGGTTAGGTCAGGATAGTAAACCCATCAGCTTATTTAGATGTCATGTACACTGGTTCAGTAACAGATGTGTGCTGTTCAATGTGGTATGGCTTGCTTTGGGGAAAGCATGAAGGGACATCAAGGATGTGGCTATTTTTTGTGGAAAGAATGAAGCTGTTGAAACCAAAGAAACACAAAGAAGTTGTGTTTTGTTTTGTTTTCTAGCACAGCCAAGAGCACAACCATGCTTTCAGATGTCTTCCATTTGTAGAGATTATGGTCTGAAAAGTTGCTAAGTGTTGCTAACAGTTTGCTCTGATGGAGGATGAAAAATAAATTAGATAAAATTTATCATTCAAGTTAGGTGACATTTAGAAAATGCTGAATTAACCTTCAGAATGTCCCCAAACATCTTGTCTGGGGAGGAGGAAGGGGTGAGAAAGAAGGAAAGACAAGGACATTCAGTCTGGTTAAGACTAACAATGAATGAATGCATGTAAACAAATTCCCTCAGGCATTCATGAATACATTTCCTTATGCTCCAGTATTTCATCAGGTAATTAATAATTTCCACATATGTCTTACTGAACAAAACCCACCATGGTCTGAGCTTGCAGGTGAGGAGGGAGCAATATGTTTAGATTTAATGTGGATGCAGCTGAATACAGAGGTTAGGGAAAAACAAACAAACAAACAAACAACCCCCCCCCAAAAACAAACAAACAAACAAACAAAAACAAAAAAAAACCCCAACAAACCAACAAACATTAAACTCTCCCGTTATTACTTTTTGCAATTAGGAGAAATGAAAACAAGCATAACTGTGTTTTTGTTGATAGCACAACTTTACCATTGCTTTGTGGGGTTTGCATTTCAGGCCTTAAAATAATGAAATGAGAACTGAATGAAAAGTCAGTATGGGTTAACTGTTGCAAAGACCCTTACCAGCATGCCTGGTGTTTGTAGGTGCCATGCTTGTGCTCCCATGCATGAGATGCATGTACTCACTCCTTCAGGGAGAGGCACTCTGTCATGCACGGCTCAAGTGTGCTGAAGCCCTGATGTCTCTCTTTGGCTGAGCCCCGGAGGGAACAGACGTTTCCTTTCCTGCCCAAGGCACTCATGTCCCATGTGTTAAGGTCCTCCCAAGGGGCAGCCTGGCCCATCGCTGCTTGGCTGCAGGTGTCCTGGCATTCAGACAAGGGCGGTTGTCAAGTTGTTTCTGAAGCAGAACATCTCAATAATCACAGTGGACCATGTTCCCTGTAGGAATCTGCTGAATATAGTGCCTTCAGGAAGGATTAGCTCCCACTAATCCCTCATTCAGGAGGAAAGTCTCAGGTGTTGGTCAAGCACCAATGGGCCAGTTTTGTACTCCTTTTGCTTTTTTTTCCTCTCTTGACAAATCCTTCTCAAAATTGCAAAAGCAGATCCAAGCAATCACACAGTGACTCAGCTGTAGAGCTAAAAGCAGTCCATGTTGCAGATTAAATTTGCAATTGGAAATATTGTTGTGCTGCACAGTAAAAAATGAAAAAAATGATTATTTTCCTATTTGCTATGTGTAAAGTGCCTTATGCAAAGATTTACATTAAGCCAGAGAGTTGGTAGAACCAGAAAGTGAGGAACAGACATCGTCTGACAGGCTGAGAGACCATCCCAACCAATGTTTTGCTTTACCAGTAGAGTGGTCTTTGCTGGGTGTATCAGCAGAAGAAGAAAGAGACATAGACTAAAGCATTAAGAACCCAGGCATTCATTCACAGCTAAATGTTGCAGGGAATGGAAGTTTATTTCTGATCCAACTTGTGGTATTTTTTGCCTGGAGACATAATGCTTATGATATTTTCAATCTGAAACTCCCCCAGAGCTACAGCAACTGCAGATGCTGCTGTTGTTCAGTTAAGCATTGCAAAGTTCATAAAAATTTAAACTGATTAAATGTTAGCATGGAGTAATGATTCCAAGTACCGATGTGTTAATTGTAATATTACATTTAGTGTGATTGCTTACAAGTGTGATTGCCTTTGTAATTGAATTTAATGCACTCTCTCCTTTGGTTATGGGACAGTGGATAGGAGTATCCATTCTGTTCTGTATCTCTATTTTATATACCTTATTCCTCTCCTTTAAGGTATCTGTCCCAGCTGTACATAAAATGTATAACAGTGTCAAGATTTTGACTTTTTTCAGTGTATAGTAGGCAATGTCTGTGTGAATTTCTGGTTCATTTTGAAATCAAAGGCAGAATTTTCATCGACTGTGGGAAGGCCAGATCTTTCATAGCATCAAAGTTTGTTCCCGTTACCCTGAAGTTGCCTTTTAACATGTTCTGCTTTTACTGCCTCCTCCCAGTATGAGATTACGAATCTGCTTCACCTGAACTGGAAGTACCTCTGCTGTTTTCATGTGCCACCTTAATGCGGTCTAAAAGATACCTGGACATTTTGCTCCTTTTCATTAGATATAAACAATCAGAATTTCGAGTTTGTTCCTCTCCAAAAACAAGAATACACATATCAGGCTGTGGGGCCTATTAAAAGCTAGCCAACTATTTTACATTTGGTTCTTACGCTACCCAGTGCAACTAATTATCGCTAGGAGAGGTGATGCAAAGCCATGCAGAATATAACTTTTCAAAGATTTTAAACTGTTGATTTCTGTTTCTAAAACATAAACACCTCAGCTTTGGTTAGAGAACATCAAAGATGAAGAATACAGTATTTCTCATGATGATTCCTTCTACTAGTTAAACATCTTCATTATTAAAATCTGATCCTGATGTATGGTTTGATTCTATACTACTGATGTGTTATGTCTTGCTCCACTAAACTTATTTTTTAGCACTTTTTCTTCCTGTGAAAGTTCTTAGATGTTGTTATTGGCAATCTTTTTCTAAGGAAAAGAGATTGATTCTGAAATTTATTACTGTAGGAGATTTTCTTCTATTCTCAGATTTGTTTATGGCTCTTTGGGACAGCCTACCCAAGTTTTGTAAATGCTTTTTGAAAAAGATGTGATAGCAAAACCTGTCCTTCCCATTGTGTATGGAAGGGTATAGAAAAGCTCCTTTCTTCCATCTGATCTCCTCTCAGCCTCAGGTCACGCTGGGAGCTCATGCTATGTTGCTGATTTGTCATTATTCTCTCTAGATCCTTTCTAGTCTTGGGATTTCCAGCTGCAGTGCTACTTTCCCTTGAAAAAGAGAATGCCTCTATGCATACGTTGGTGTTTGACTTTATTAAAACGCCTTTTGTCTGTGTAAGACTAACTTACTGTATGACCTTGCCATGATTTTGTGAAGACTCAGCCTTTGCTTGTACTTATTTGTATGACATTATCATTGTTTTGCAGAAGAGATCTCATTTTTATTTCCAAGTGGGTGATGAGCATACAGAATCAGATGACCACTATGAAACTGGGATGGACAGTGAAGTATGTTATTTCTACATGCCCTTTTTGGCCTGCCTTCAGGCTTCAGACTGCATAACATCTGGTGGCAAAGTGACTGCTGGGGAAAAGACCTTCAGCAGAGAGCAATTGCCCAGAGCCAGCCCTGAGTATCCCCTGCTAGTCTCCTTGTTTCCTTCTGAGATGTCTGCCCTTTGTCTGCATAGCAAGTGGGGCTGGAGGATTGGGTGGAGGCCACCAGGATAGTGTGCTCCAGGCGAGGCAATGGGAGGGTTCCTGATGTGCCCTAAGGGATTAAAGGGGCCACAATGGGGAGGGGGAAAGGGAAAAGCCTCAAATGTGAGAGAGGAAGAGGCTTAATATGCCAAAATATGCTGCAGTCCTGTTGGTGCCTGGAGGGTGCTGTAAACAAACTTTCTTGGGAATCACTCTCTACTAGAAACTTTTTTTTTTTTTTTATTCCCCCCCCTCTCCTTTTCTGCAATGCATTAAAGGAGTTAAAAGGCACTTTAGAACAGAAGTGACACTTCTGCCTCTGCTTGCAGGTATGCCATCTAAAATAGTACAAACCATAAATCACTTTAATAGAATAACTTTAACAGATAACAGCAGAAGCTTCACAAATCCTTGTGATTCAAACATCAGAGGAGGCTAATGTAGCAATTCAGAAGAGGAGAACTGCAGTCATGCATTTCGTGATTGAAAAGATCATGAACTAAATTCAGCTGATCGCATAAGGGATGTCAGTCAATAGAGCAATGGTAATACGTTTGAAGGGATTAATGACTCCAGTGGTGAACATCCTGTAGCTTGATAATCATTTGTCCTTGAGTTAATTATCTGAGCCACATTAGCTTTGTGCAGCAGAGATGGAGTGGTGGGTGGCTTTCATACACCACAGAAATACTAAAATCAGATTGCTGTATCATGAATCTCAAAAAACAATGTCTTGGCAGGGGAAGCACTTTTATTTTGAAGCTTTTTGGTTTTTGCTCGTGTCTCTTGAACCATCAGCAGAGAAACCAGGTATGCTGACTCTTATCCAAAAGCTTTCACTTTATTAAAAAGACAGTCATCTTACTTGGTTTGACTGTGGCTTTGATATGAAAGTGGCACATGAGCAGAGGCAGTGTCTGGGTGGCTATGTGGTGTGGGAGCATGCAGAGGTGTCCAGACCAGCTCTGAATACGAAGCAGGATGGTCAGGGTCCTATTGCCCCCACCTTCTTGCCTGTTCTCATAACCCCACGCGTGCACAAGGGTACCAGAGAGCTACTCAAATGATGGACTTCAAAGTGGATTTTGACTTGTAAATCTTTCCTGGATTCTTTAAAGCCTGTTTCCTTCTCTCTCTCCAGTCTGGGGTTTAGGATGCAGCAACCCTACAGCAGCCAAGGTTTCCCCAGGGTGCAAGGAGAAGTTG